GTGGAACGCGTCTTCCGTGCGCTCAGAGCTCCCCGCAGTAGATGTCCCCGCGCCGCTGTTCAGTGTAGTTGTAGGCCCTGTAATAAAAAAACAGGTACGAGAGTAAGATTTTTGTTTGGATAACATGTGTATCGCAACGATCACACCATCTTCGAGTGATTTGGCATGACATCATTTCAAACAGCAAGCCATGAGTCTGCGCGTGGACATGTATGGCAGCTGTAGCTGTCCAGTCATGGCAGCTACTGTTCAACAAACATGGCAACTATTGTTTTGCCTATAAATAACTACAAATAACAAATGTAGCGCTGTTTTTTGTGGTTCAGTTTTTTTCCTTACCTTATTGTGCTGCATTTGACCATCTTGTGTGGTCTGTGACACCATAATGACATGCTTCACCTGCAATTTGTGAAGCTTACCACAAGACGTTTGCCGGGTTACCACCAGCGTAATAACCTGTAAGCATAGTAGTGGTTGGTCAATTCATGGCAAATGCAGTTTGTGCTAGCACGGCAACTGCAGTTGCCCCTGATGTGGCAACTGTAGTTTTACCGGCATGGCAACTGTAGTTGCATCGGTATGGCAACCGCAGTTGTTCCTTCATGGCAACTGCAGTTGCCATGGCATGGCAAATGTAGTTGCACTGGCATGGCAACTGCAGTTGTTCCTCCATGGCAACTGCAGGTGTCCAGGGATGGCAACAACAGTTGTCCAGGGATAACAAGTTTAGTTTTTAATTCATGGCAATTGTAGATGTCCAGTCATGGCAATTGTAGTTGTCAACTATGCTCCTTCTGCTAATTGAGCATCCGCAACTTCACTTTTTTATGGACTCACCTGTGTATGACGTCGATGGCAGGTACATGGGTGCTGCCTGATGCCACGTGCTGCATGAAGGCTCTGCATTTTCACCCGTGATAACTCGTGAGTCCTTTTTCCAGTTTTTTTGCATGTTCATTTTTCATGTCCACAGCAGTATGTGCTCTTTTTTCGTTTTGCATTACCTTGATTAGCCATACTAGCTAGTTGAAGTTGGCTGCCCGTACATTTGTCAGTGTTAGCGCCTTGTGACTGAACTTGCCACGGGGGCCCCCTAAGAGTGTTTTGGTAATAAGAACCTGCGAAAAAATGACAGTGTATGACATAAGTAGAATGTCATCTTCATCGTTGCGAAGATGGCATCTGTTCTCTTCTTTTGTTATCACGCATCATACCTACGCCTGCATATTGTTCTAGTAGTAGCAGCAACGGCCCTGCAGAGATGAGTTGACTGTACTCTGATGCATCCCAAGGGGGCGTTTCTGATCTTTGAGAACCCCAAGCATCAGCGTCATCTCCGTGATTTATTCTTTCCGTGTCTCGCTTCTTTCCGATGTGTTCTCAATCACTGGATGAACAAGAAGGCATCAACAATCCACAAGAATTGTATTCTTCTGCTGCTTGCACATAGAAGATAGGGATGGCAAGCAACAGGTCAAAATAGGTGGCAGCTACTGACAACGAAAGGTGGCAACTGTCGTTATACACAAGTGGCAATTAATTTTTCCCACCCCCTTCATTTCAAAAATTGTCCTTCCTGCCCTTTTTTAGGGATTCCTACTCATCCATTTCATACCCAACTACTTGCGTCAATTAAACTATGAACTTAAGTTAATCTCAAACGTAGTACATGGCAGATCTGGTGTATTCTGCCTGGCAATTGCGAATATACACTAAATCACGCAGTGTTTTACCCCTATAGCATGGACCCAGTACAAGATCGAGAGATTTTCAGCCTTAAGGATGAGAAGGATGAGATCGGGAGATTTCACCTGGTTTTAGATGATCGTCTCTGGAGGGCTGGGTTGGAGTGGGGGGCTGGGGGTGGGGAGGGTTGGGGTGTGGTTTGCGGTGGGAGCGCCCTACGGATCTGCCCTGGTTGCCATGGCAACCAGAGATGGCCGGCGACGGAGGTCGGGGTTCGAGAGGTGGGGGACGATGGCGGCAGACGAGAGAGGGGATGGATCGGAGGCCGGGAACGGCTGGGTCGTGCGGGCAGCGGGTCGTCTGGCCCGGACGGGACAGTGCGGGCGGGGTTGCCACACACCGAACGTACGGGCCGTACTTTTGTGCGCGCGGACGTGGTCGTGCAGGCCGGTTCCGTTCATGCCACACGGGGCGTGCGAGCGGGTTCCCGTCCATGCCACACGTGTGGCAGTTATTCGGACCCATGCAGAGTACTAAATTAAAACAGAGGAAGTATGTGTATGTGTATGTGTGATTGTATATACCGTGTAAAAAAAGACCGTAGAGCCTAGCGACTCTCATCGGCGGGCCGGTTTAATCGTAGGTGTGAACCCACGGGGCAAAAGCCACGATCAGATCCGTCACCGGAGAAGAACGCTTCTTCGAACCAAAACATTTTTTTAGTTCCAAGACGTACGCGTTCTCTTCTTCCTGTGCTGCCGTAGGCACCGTTGCGTACAACATCTATACACTCGAGTTGTAAACGTATACTATACCTACCTCCCTCCGTGGTAGCTAAGCTCCCGCTGGAAATCTCCCTCCTTCGCTCTGCACTTGTTTTTCTTTTTCTCTCCCACGCCAGAATGTGTCTTGTGTCAGTATTCCTTACATTTTGTTCGATTAGAGTGGACTTTCTCTCTTTTTCCCTACAGTGCTGAGTTTTTTTTTTTTGAGAAATCCCCTATAGTGCTGAGTGGAATGTGTCAGTTGCTAGTGGGTTGCAGTTTTTTTACATGTTCACTTTACTTTTTATTTTCATTTTGTTATGTTTCTAAATTTCTTTCTTTCTACTATCTTTCTACATGTTCACTTTACTTTTTATTTTTATTTTGTTATGTTTTTAAACTTCTTTCTACTATCTTTCTACATGTTCACTTTACTTTTTTATTTTCATTTTGATTTTTATCCTACTAGTAACCGAGGAGGTGCGTCTGACTAACACACTTGGTGTCTCCATGGCGAAACTACATATACATACTATTGCTATATTACTATAGTGTTCATCACTTACCAAGTATCTGTGTGTCGATGGTGCTGAAACAGTGAGCTTGCTTTGGCTTGGCTTGAGGTGTAAATTGGTCAACGTGAAATGTGAGAGAAAAGCACGGGACTCATCGTATTTATACATGGGAATGGATTTCCTTTTAATCATCTATATGCTCAATCAACA